TGTACTTTTTTCTTTTTCAACACGGTGAGGTCGAAAGGAAAATGACAAATATCTTAGGGACCACAAAATAGATTTTTTTCCTTTTCAACACGGTGATGTTCAAGGAGACTGACAAATATCTTAAGGAGTACTTTTTATTCTCACATTTTAAGACAAAAAAAATGTGATTTTTATCTTTTTCAACACGGTGGAAATTGACAAATATATTACGGAACACATTTGGTGAAATCAATTTTTTATTAATCCACCCACCACTGATCGCCAAAATCGTTATCATCGCGGCTAGTTTTATTTCTCGTTGTGCCAAAAGATACTCTACTCCCTCGGGAGAGTAGAATGTGCATTTACTCTCTCGTGTAAAACCCCACTTAGAATTAATTTTAGGATTTCAAATTTTGGGGACATACCTCTTCGGCCTATAGATTAAGCTAAAAAAAAAAATGCCCTAATTATACCGTCTATATACATGAATAACATAATGTATTGAGATTGAACAGACCATCCAATTTTTTGATGATGAGATCTAAGCATTAGAAAACTCAAACTTTAACCTTTTTTTAGAATAATCATTGATTATTTCTTAATTGATTTCTAAAATTTCAAATTGAAAAAATCCTCCCGAGTTGATCTTCTATATGAGGTACACATTCTACTATTATAATTATTACTAGAGAAATCAACTATAAATCAATTTTCTCTGGTAATTAAAAAGTAATATCTATTGTCCACATTTTCTATTGGTTGTCGACTTTTTTAAATTTTCCCCAAAATAAACCTAATCTAGTACTTGAAGTACCAGACCACGTATAGGACTTTTCTTTTAAAACTCGAACTGGCGCTTGATGTACCAGATTGAGTCCGTAATATCTGCTATTTTTCTTTTCCTGGAGCCATTAGTGTAATTGCAATACCAAACTAGCATGAACAATGAAAAAATATGATTTGGTACTTCCCAACTATTTGCTATTTTTTCCCCAAATGTTGATCATGTACTTTAAGTACCGGACCTGCTGGAATGGTACTTAAAGTACTAGACAAAAAGTTGAAAAAGATCGGTATGGTACTAGACACATCGGACCACAATAACATAGATGTGGTACTTCAAATGTTGGACTGAGTTTTGGAAGAAAGAGTTTTACATGTGGTCTAATACTTGAATTACCGAGCCGATATCATCTTTGGAAAGGAAATTACAATATAAGGACCATGCATAAACTATGAAAAAATAGTGATTATTTTTCAATTCTAGAAAAAAAGGATTTACACGTTAGTTTCCCTTATTATTATCTAGTAAGAATAGGGAAAGTATTTTATGTCGCAAATTTATTTTTTTTAGGTAAGTAAAAAAAAAAAGTAAGTCGGTGGGAATTTGGGCCCCTACCTTAATGAGAATGGAGTCACATATTTCATCATGAAGCTTCTAGGTACTACCACCAAGACCGAGCGCATTCTCAAAGATGCACCATGACTTATGTGTCCATGACTTCACAAAGATGCACCTCAAATCTTACCAAAAGAAACACTCAGCACTAGAAAATCATCCAATAAAAAGGGAAAATATGAAGAACCTCCAAAATCGATTATCTCAACTTCAAAAAGTAATGGACACGAAAAAAAAAATGGATTTCGCACTTAATAGCCTAGACTCTAGACCAGTCATTTCCAGTACTAAAAGGTTCACTAAATTGTTTTAAAAAAAATTATATAAAGCTACAACCTTAAAACGTATAACTAAAGATGCACATCAAAACTCCATCGGAAAAAAGTTGTTTTAATGTTAAAAAATCCCTAATTGATCATCTCGATATCAATATGTACGAACATTGAAAAAAAAAAAAATATAGTTTTAGAAATATTGCATCTTGTAATACATTATCTAGACCATCCATTTTCAAGAATTTCATATGTTTATAGATCTATTGATTTTAACCATTTTTAGAGTTTAAAATTTTATAATTAGATATGAAAATAGATTTTCAGATATCTTAAAAAAATTTACACCAAAATTATATATTATAATAAAAATTGAAGTTCCGCCTTAATTGAATTGTTTAAGGTTGCAACCTTATCGAAACCATACCCTTTTTAAGGGAAAGTATATAATGAGACCATTTACCTTTTGCACAAGGTAGTCACAATTAATCTTGACAATTGGATGTAAAATTGGGTGGTTGCATTTATTTTAGTGACTAAACTCAAAGTTCAAAAAAAAAATTTCGAACTTTATGACACACATAAGCTGTCATATTTCGCATTGCATGGCTGTTAGTAATTGTGACTTCCTTGTACAAAAAATAAATGGTCTCATTGTATATATTCTCTTTTTTTAAATGTTAAATTTATATTATTTTTAAAGCTTCAATTTCTCCATAGGGTTGTATATCATCACAAAGATATACCCACTACTAGAAGTGCTTTTAAAGTGGGGACCAAAAGTGCGACTATACCAGATACTTTAAGGTCATGGTCCTACCAAAACCTCAATCGTAATCAAGGATTGTTACCTTTTGACCCTTTCAATTTCAAGTTTCATCCAAAGGGAGGGTCCCTCGTGATGTCAGCATGTATAATTCAAGGTTTACAGTACCATCTCCGTTGGGCATTGACCTTTAGGTGTTTGCTAAAGAACATGTCCCCTTGCGATGTCACCCGATCCAGGCTAAAAACTATCAGTCTGCCCCTTCTCGGACAATCAAACCATTGGGTTTTTTTTGGGGAAATTCTTAGCACATACTTAAATTATCTTTATGCATTCTGATGCATGGGCACAGTCCCATTTCTAGGGTGGTTCAATATTGGGTGTTCCATCTTTTAGTTTTGTATAGGATATGTTGTTTTAGACATCATACCGCCTCATACTTAGCATTTTTAAGGTATATCAATTCGATGGTTCTATCGGACCACATTTGAAATTGAAAAGGTTCAATGCGATTTTTCTAACATCAAACAGCCCTTGCTACTTATAAAAATTTGTAAGTATCGAACAGCCCAATTTTAGAAACATCAGATATGATACATAAATAATAAAAAAAATATAAGGGGATGTCTGAGCATCGAACTTCTTCATTGTAAACCACATGAAGAAACTTGGACCAGTCCGATGTTCCTCAAATTGGACCACCCAAAACTGGGGCCTCCATTATTTGGGCTGTCTTAGGATTTAATAAAATAAAAAATAAGAAAACCAAGAAATTTGATATTTGTAACAAACCTTGAATGAAAAATTATTAAAACGTAGGACTTCAATGTAAAATTTGTGAAAATATGGACCAAAGCATATTAATTAAATCCTATTATAATGTAAATTTTCCTTTTTCTTTTTCTCTTTCTCTTTGTATTTTAACTCACATATATATCATCCTTTTGAAATTCCATTCTCTTTTATATTTTTCAGACACGGCTTTTGTGAGTCAGCCAACTCACCTATTACTGTGCAGCCCCTTGGCTATCTAACGTCTATCTCTAAGATGGACGTCAACAAATATTTACATCCACTAAAAGTTAAAATGAATGGTGCATAAAGGAATTAAAAAAATAACATTTATATTTCTAAAAAATTGTTTTTTCCAAAATTAGATCATTGTCATGGTTGATATTAGTGTATTCTAAAATTTTGGGTCGAAAATACATCTTTGAGATATATTTTGTAAGGAGACAGCACAAGAATAGTGTGAGTGGGCCGACTCACTCAACACTTTTCCTTCTTTTTATTTCCAAAGTAATAGACCAATTAGATAGCAGCGTCTCAGGTAACCCTGGTTCTAGTCAAGCCAAGGGAGACAAGGGAGATGTTCAATGTCGATATCTATTTTTACTTCGACCGGCTATTGGGCGATCCCAATCCGAATTTCTATTAGTAAAGAGTTATTTATGGAGATGGGGACATTTTTAATTGAAATATGAAGGCAGGCGACATTATCCTAATGTGGGGCAGAGAAACCGCAGGACCAAACATTTGAGTTCTTGTTTTTTTATCAAAGCACAGGGAGATAACAAATTGCCATAACTCCTGTGAGAGTATCCATTTACCCACTTAGGTAAAACCCTTTCTACGATTAATTTTAGTGCCCCAGATTTAGGAGTTGTAACCTCTTCAACCCCTCAATTAATCTCAAGGTAAATTTTTTTTTTTTTTTTGTCATGATTGAAGCCTCTATGCACTTAAAAAAAAGGAATGTCTCAAGATTGAATAGGGATCATCTAATTTTTAGTAAGTGCTAGTAAACTCAAAATTGAATTTTGTTTAATTTTGTTTCTTAATGAGAATAATGATCTAGTGATTTTTAGGGGGTTCCCAAATTTGAGATTGAAAAAAAATGCTCCCAAGTAAGTCTTCTGATCAAGGGAGTAGATGTACATTATGATCCCAAGGGAGCAAATTATCCAAATTGCGCCTCGCTTTGATATATTTGGAGTAATGTATCTTGCCTCTTCAAATATAGATCTTTTTTCCTTTTTTTTAATGTTTAGGCAGTTTAGTTAGAAAGAACTCCCTTACATGTGATAGGAATTTGTTTGTGGCATCCCGCTATCCTGACCCTCTGGCCTTGAGTCCATTCTTAATTATGGTATATACATAGCACAATATTGCACAAGCTTATTTTTACCCCTTCATTATGGTCAATAGATTTTAGCCCCTTCATTATGGTCAATAGATTTTAGCATATAGAAAGTAAACGTATCAGTTGGGTTTTCTTTTTAAATTGTATGAAGAGAAATCAACATTTTTCAGGTCATCTTTTGAGTTTCCTCTTTCTTTTCTTTTTTTTCTTTTTTTTTTTTTTTTTTTTTGAATATTAAGGTCATATTTTGAATTGGTATGAAGAAATGTGTTTTACAAAAATGTGTTACCGTACTAGCAATGTCTCGTGTACCCAATAGGGTCACTTAGATTTGATGCATTTTCTTGTCCTTTTCCTGTATCATGTTACCATACAAACAGCGGATTAAGTTGTACATGAATGCGTTCTTCACTGGGCCACTTTTATAATTCAAAAAGGTATATGAACGTAGTTTTGCAAAGTTTATTGATTGATTCACATATTGACAAAGATTTACGTACTTTTGATCCTTGGAAAAGAAAGAGTTAGCCTAGGACAATTTGCAAACAAACAAATAAAAAGTAAACTGAGCTGATGGACCCAAACATCACCACCATCACCATGAGGAAGCACCATGAATGAATGATTCCAAATTTGCTAAGGCTATTTGATCCTTTTGATCAAGCAGCCATCATTATCCTAACAAACTCTTCGAAATTCACTTGCCCATCACCGTCCATATCGGCTTCCCTGATCATTTGGGCGACCTCCTCATCCGTGAGTTTTTCGCCGAGGTTGATCATAACATGCCTTAGCTGCCCAAATTAGAAAAACTTGAATTATTAAATCCAAGATTTGGGCCTCAATATCACAAAAAATCGTTTCCAAAACCACAAATTTATCAATAAGGTCCATAGAACATTTTCAGAAAAAATATCACAAATTGGGTCACGTAAAACATTTACTAGGAAATATAGTTATGACTTCATGTGAGATAGAAAGATCACCTCAGTTGCAGAAATATATCCATTTTGATCCTTATCGAACACTTTAAACGCTTCCAGGAGTTCTTCCTCAGCGTCCGTCTCCTGCAAGCGATAATTCCTTCAAGGCTTTCAGCTCGAAATTTACTATATATACAAATATTAAAAAATTTAAACGAAGAAAGCTACATGTTTACTGTTTTTCAAAACTGCCAGCAGTTATCTGTAACAAATTCTTTGTTATCTATGTAAAGAGATTTACCTGCATTTTCCTTGCCATTAAATGCAGAAATTCCCCAAACTCAATGCTACCATTAGCATTTACATCAACTTCACTAATCATATCGTGCAGCTCTTCCTCGGTTGGATTTTGGCCTAATGATACGATCACGGTCTTTAGCTCCTCTAGAGTGATTCGCCCTAAGAAACCATAATCCGAACAAATACAAATAAAAAACAAATAATAACAACAACAATAACAGCAATGGAAATTTATCAAGCGCACCTAACTTCTCAATAATTTGTCAATTTACCCTTTTTCAACTGTTCCAGGCCATGCTCGTATGTTGATGACTTTTTTTAAATTAAATCATAACATATTAAAGAGCTGATATCTTATATGGATTGTGATAAATTTCTCAAACAATAATGATAACTTTGTCGCAAAAAAGCCCACTCAGACATCCAAACAAGGATGTGTCGATTTTTACAAAGAAGAGTGATTTAAGTTCGGACCTTAAAAAATTTTTCCAAAATACTTATGCTCCATATAGGTAGGAAATAGAAAGAAGGTTGACCAAGTTGTTGTTTTTTTTTTCCATAATGGCCCCACGGTCCAACGATATCCTCGATTTTTATTTTTTTTTGTTAGTAAGGTGCCGCCCTAAAGCATGGGGCACTGCCGTACTAACAAAAAGCTATATATATATATATATATAAAAAAAAAAAAGTAAAATTTAAACCGATGATTCTATCCTTAAACCAAGGGGCAATTTTAAAAAGAATTCAAAAAAGGGGGAATAGCCTACCTTTGTAATTTCTAGTTTATTCTCATAAAGAGAGGATTTTGTATTTTTTTAAAAAAAATAGGGTTCCTGTGTAAATCACTCTACAAAAAATACACATGGATACTAGATGATTAAAAAAAACACTCAAAACAGCAAAAACAGGGGCTTATTTCTTTCAAGGAAAGCCCAGACCCTTGTCACTAATATCTTGAAGAAATGAAAACACTGTCCATTTGTCCAAAAGACCAAAACCATCCATGGCCTCATAAAAATGGCTATCATATTGCAAAAGAATCAGCATTCAGTTCTATTTCAGAGATAATTTGTTTGAAATGGCCCTTGATTCCCAGCCATTGCAAACTTTATGAAACTCTGAGAGAGAGAGAGAGAGAGAGAGAGAGAGAGAGAGAGAATGATAACTAGAAATAAAAAAAATTAGGGTAGAAAAACTCACCATCTCCATCTTTGTCGAAGAGACAAAAGGCTTCCTTGAACTCTGTAATTTGCTCTTGAGTCAACGGTTCAGCCATAACTGTGAGAGTAGAGAGAGAAGAAGAAGTTTATGTTTCTCAGAGTGAAGAGATAGATGAAGAAGAAGAGAGATGAAAGAGGAGACTAAGAAGCTGAGAGGAAGGATCGGGAAAGCTTTTGTTTTTGCGGTGAGCGTGTGTGGGGTTTATGTAGGCGTAGAATTGAATTTTTTTTTTTGTTCTCGTAATTTTATTTTCTCTTAGTTTTGTAGTGAGAGAAAACTTGAGAGTCAGATGACATTGAGAGCTGCTGAATTCTTCTTCATTGCTGTTCTTGCTCCCTACGTTCAAAAGAAAATTCAAGAAAATTGACTATAATACCCACTCATGCCTACCCTTCCAACTGTACTAAAACGTGACCCAAAATGCCCATCATTTTCTCGTCAAATATCGGGCGTGCCACTCCCAAGGGAAAATCTCGCTTGCCCACTTTGTTAATAAATTCTAACGGCCTTTTCAGTACCCCGAAGAAACCACTCAGTTCTACTAAGAAAATCATGGGTTCCAATCAAGTCATACCTTGTGTATATGAAAATCTCTCTCTCACGCACACATACGCTATAACACACACCTCTTGTGTATATGAAAATCTCTCTCTCACGCACACATACGCTATAACACACACCTCTGGGGTTTGTCAAACATATGTCTCTGTAGAATTTGCAATAAATAGAATTTGTAATTAAAAAAATAGAGACCAGAGAGAGAGATGAAGAATCAACACGACATAATGCCTACGTCCATAGAGAGTAAATCAGTATCTCATTCATAATGAAGTACTCTAGTTTATCAAAGATTTACAATAGTAATAATAGAAAACTCAATACAAGCAACTTAATGTATTGTAATATACAAGATAACTCAATATAATAAATTTAATATCTTGTAATATACAGGATAGGAAATTAAATATATGGTTTCTATAACTGTCAACACTCTCCCTCAAGTTGGTGCGTAGATATCAATGGAACCGAACTTGGACAGTATCTGATGGAACTTTGTATTTGCAATAGCTTTGGTAAACATGTCTGCAAGTTGGTCTTCACTTCGAACATAAGGAGTATTAATAATTTTTTACTAAACTTTTTCTTTCACAAAGAGGCAATCAACTTCTATGTGTTTGGTTCTTTCATGAAAAACAAGATGCATAGCTTCTTGATTATCACAAAACATCTTCATTGGATTGACCGTTGGGAACCCCATATCTCGAAGTAGGTATTTTAGCCACATCAATTCACTTGTAGTTAAAGTTATAGCTCTATATGCAGCATCTGCAATGGATCGAGTAACTGCATTTTGTTTCTTGCTTTTCCAAGCAACTAAGTTTCCACCGACCAATGTACAATAACTGGTAGTGGACCTCTTGTCAATTGGATTACCTGCCTAGTCAACATCAGAATAACCAATAATATTAGTGTGACCATTCGGTTTCAACCAAACACCTCTGCCGCGTGACGACTTGAGATATTTGAGAATCCTATCGACCGCCTACATATGACATGATCTAGAAGCATGCGTAAATTGTCTCACAAGACTAACCGCATACATTATATTTAGTTGTGTCACAATCAAATAAATCAATCTGCCCACAAGTCTATGAAAGCGGCCCACAACTTCAAGAGGTTTTCAATTTGTTGAATTAAGTTTGTAATTAATATCAATAAGAGTGTCAACGAGTTTAACTCCTAGTTTCTTTCAATAGATCTAATACATATTTCATTTGAGAAATGAATAGTCCCTTTTTTTAATGTATTACTTCAATGCCGAGAAAATACTTTAGTTGATCAAGATCCTTGATATCAAGTTTCTTGTAAAAATATTTTTTTAAGTTTCATGGTGCTTTCTTTATCATTATCTGTAATGATAATATCGTCAACATAAATGAGTATAATTGTTGTACCAAAAGTTCCCCTTTTTGTGAACATCAAAAAATCGGCTGAACTTCTAAGAAACCTGACGCTCATCAAGGTTGAGCTGAATTTAGCATACTATGCGCGAGGTGATTAGTTAAGTCCATATAAAGCCTTCTTTAATTTGCATACAAATCATCTCTCCTTTTCTTTAGACGTTTTCGTGATGGTCACCATGTAAGAAGGCATTTTTAATATCCATCTAATGCAGAGACTATCCACAATTAAATGTGATAGACAAATAACACAAACCATATTCATTTTAGCAACTGGTGCAAAAATCTCTTTATAGTCGACTTCATAAGTTTAGGTAAATCATTTGGCTACGAACCTAGCTTTATACCTCTCAACTGACTCATCACTATTATATTTGATTTTATAAATGCATCTACATCCAACCGCTTTCTTCCCTTTATGCAGCTTGACAATGTTCCAAGCATGGTTCTTGTCAAGTGCTTGAAGTTTTTCTTTCATAGCCTTCATCCACACAGGTTGAGAAAGAGCATTTTGAAAATTAGTTGTAAAGTAGTCTAGAGGAAGGTTGAGATATACAAGAAGACATGTGCAATGGGGGATCAAGTGAGGCCACAGCCACAATGGAGTCTTCTTCTTCAAAACCAGTTTGGTAAGTTTTAGAGGTATCTTTAGCTTCGGCTTGATCATCATGATTTGTTCCAAGTATGTTGGACGCATCACTGGTGCTAATGACATCTTGAACACTCCCCCTGGGTCTTATTTTCCAAACCATTTTTCAATGTGTCATGGAAATATGACTATGTTTCAACACATTGAACATATTTGGAAATATGCATTTTTCTAGTTATGGGATCATAACATTTATATCCCTTTTGAGTAGATGAGTATCCAAGAAGAATACATCTACTAGAACATTTATCAAGTTTATCCCGGTTGTGCCTATCCACATGAACATAAGACACATCCAAATACTCGCAAATTGGACAAATCAAATTTTATATTTTCCAAAATTTCAAGGAGAGATTTATCCTTAAAAATTTTACTTGGAAGTCTGTTAATCAAATAGCTAGTAGTTAAAACAGCTTCAGATCAATAAATGTTTGGAACATGCATCTGAAACATTAAAGACATTGTAGCTTTCAAAAGGTATCTATTTTTTATTTCAACAACTCCATTCTGCTGAGGTGTTGCAACACACAATATTTGGTGTATAATACCGAAACTCAATAAATGCTCAGAAAAAACTTTGTTTGCATACTCTGTATCTTTATCAATCCGAAAAATTATAATCTTGCCATTGTATTTTAGTAAAAATCAGTTTAGAAAACTATTTGAACATAGGGAAAACTTATGTTTTTATTTCAATAAATATATCAAAGTAGCACAAGACCAATCATCAATAAAAGTAACAAAATATTTAAAGCCGGCATAAGAATCAAATGAGCTGGTCCCCACACATCAGAATGTATCAAATAAAAGAATTCATTTGAAACATGCATAGAAGACTGAAAAGGAAGTCTTGTCTGTTTTGAGAATTTACGGACTTCACAAGAGTGAGAGTTTAAAGATAGAGAAAGCATTAAAAATTTTAAAACTTTATCTCAAGGGTGTCCAAATCTCCAATGCCATAATTTACTAATATCATAATTATCTTAACTAACAACTGAAGCCTTATTCTCCTAATTAAATAAATATAGCCTATGAGATAGTCTTCATTCACCAATCTTCTTTCCCATGACCCAGTATTGGAAAGTCACAGAGTTAAGAGAAAAAATAACATTACAATTCATGCTCTGAGTAATTCTACTAACAGAAATCAAGTTAGAGGAATATGATGGCCTAAAAAGAACTTTAGTGTTTTGGGATTTGGATAATAAATTGGCCTTACCAACACTATGGATAAGAATCAATGAACCATTGGCAATAGACATAGGATTCATATTTTCATTATTTTTAAGGTTGGACAGATATTGTAAATTGCCAGTCATATGATATGTGACCCCTGAGTCTATTATCCAAGAGAAAGTGTCACATGAAGACATAGAAGCAAAAATATTACCTGTGTCTGGGAATGGAGAAGAATGATCATGTATGGAGGAAGAGTCATTGTTGTTACTTAGTTGATGATAATGATCACAGTTGCAGTGATGAATTTGAGTGATTACAGTTTGAGCGATAGATTTGTATGGGTTTCTACCTCCACCATTATTTTGAGGCTTTTCTGTTTCATATTTCTCATTATTAGCAACCAAGGGAAATCTTTCAACACTTTCTTCAAAGGTTTCGAAACCAAAATTCATGATTTTCTTCCTAATTATGTATCGAAATTTAGATTTTCCAAAAAGAGAACGAGAAACAGCTATCGACCAAATAAGATAATTAAGTTTATTCAAATGAACAATACTAAGTTTCATGCTGGAGTTATTTTCGAAATCAACCATTTACAAGAAGATAAAAGTAACCAAAAGCCTGACCTGATTAGAGTAGAAGATGCCTCAATCAGAAATAATCGAAGATCCAAATAAGCATTATTGTTCATCTCTCTAGAAATTACCAATATGTATCCAATAACTAACCCTTTAAGGTTCAATCTGATGCGCACACAGAATGAATAGGTGCTTCGTCAATAAGAATACAATTGCAACTTGAAACCATCGTATGAGCTTCAAATACATCAACGAAGATGATATCCTCACCCTGCTATCCTCACGTATAAAGTAAACTTTGGCTTCTAGGTCTCCTCACGCACAGCAAATCCCCACTATAGAAAGCAAAGCAAGGGTAAATGATGTATATCAATACTAACAAAATATCCATACGCTCACAGTAGACACAAGTCTCCCTGTTCTTTTTTTACTTCTTCACCTTCTTTTACTTCATGATGTTACACAATTATCTTATTGTACGTCCAGAATAACACTAAGCACCCACGTAGCAACTGCCCTATTCTACGTCCATAATAACACAAGCTTCACGTGGCAAAGATATTCCCCAGGCTTGTCCTCAAAGGCATACAAAAAAGGGCATTTTAGCTATTACTATGAGGAGTCATGAGCTATTTTGTTCCTTTCTTTTTCTTGTTTTTCTCCTTCGAGGAATCCTTTCAATTCTACGTTTATGAAAAAAATCAATGGTCCCCGTTGTTAAATCGGTCTCCTTTCCGCTTAGAAATTGGGGTACGTGTGGACTTACAATTTCCTGTAATTTTTTCGGGACTGAATTAGTATTTGATAATATTTTACTTGACATCTTGATTTCAAGCTATACGGCATGACTTTCGTACTATTCCAATGCAAGTCTATTGACTAAAATAACCTTGCCCACAATTTCCTTTCTTTTGTATTATTGATTATTTGGCACTTAGCCACGTTGTTATTTTTGGCGTC